TTTGTGACCCTATGGACTGTAGCTCTTCAGACTCCTCTGTCTATGGGGTTCTCCAGGCAAGAGCAGTAGAGTGGGTTGCCATGCCCTCCTCCAGGGGATCTTCCTGACCCAGGGGTTGAACCTGCATCTCTTACATCTCCTGAATTAGCAGATGGCTTCCTTACCACTAGCGGCACCTGGGAAACCTGTGAAAAGAATAGTCTTCCACAAATGGTTCTGGGACAACTGGATATCCTCATGCGAGAAATGAAGTTGATTGCAGACCTCACACCATAGCCCTCACCTAGAAATTAACTGAAAATGGATCTATGACTGAAATGTAAAAGCCAAAACTGTAAAACTCTTAGAAGAAAAATTTAGTGGTGAGTCTTTATAACCCTGGATTAGGCTCTTTAGTTTCTTAAATATGATGCCAAAATCATAAGCAACAAAAGAATGAAAAGGTAAATCAGACTTTATCAAAATTTAAAACTTTTGTGCTTCAAAGACCACCATGAAGAAGGTGAACAGCCAAGAAAGTGGGGAAAAAATATAAGTCATATGACTGATAAGTGATTTTTATCTGTATCAATGAAATGATAGATGCCCCAATTAAAAGCAGGGCAATAGATTTGACTAGACATTTCTCCAGGGGAGATAGTCAAATGCAAATAAGCACATGTAAAGATGCTCAACATCATTAGTCATCAGGGAAATGTAAATCATCACTTCAGTAAGATACTACTTCACAACTGCCTTGTTGACTATAATCAAAAAGACAGATGATAACAAGTATTGATGAAAATGTGGAGAAATCAGAACCTTCATACATTGCTTTTGGGAATGTGAAATGCTACAACCCTTTCAGAAGACAGTTCTGACAGTTCCTTGAAAAGTTCCTGACCTAGCCAGGAACATAGAATAATGTCCAAAACTGGCTTGAAACTCAGCATTCAAAAAACGAAGATTATGGCATCCAGTCCCATCACTTCATGGCAAATAGTTGGGGAAACAGTGGAAATATTGACAGACTTGATTTTCTTGGGCTCCAAAATTACTGCAAATGGTGACTGCAGCCACGAAATTAAAAGATGCTTGCTCCTTGGAAGAAAAAATATGACAAACCTGGACAGCCTATTAAAAAGCAGAGACATCACGTTGCCCACAAAGGTCCGTATGGTCAAAGCTATGGTTTTTCCAGTAGTGATGTATGGATGTGAGAGTTGGACTGTAAAGAAAACTGAGTGCTGAAGAGTTGATGCTCTCAAATTGTGGTGCTGGAGAAGACTCTTGAGAGTCCCTTGGACAGCAAGAATATCAAACTATTCGTTCCTAAAGAAATTTACCCTGAATATTCACTGGAAGAACTGATGCTGCAACTCCGATACTTTGGCCACCTGATGCAAAGAGCTGACTCATTGGAAAAGACCCTGATGCTCGTGAGTTTGAATAAGCTCCGGGAGTTGGTGATGGACAGGGAAACCTGGTGTGCTGCAGCCCATGGGGTCTCAAAGAGTCGGACATGCCTGAGCAACAGCAACAACCAGAGTAAGCAATCCACAGAAAGTGGGTGAATGCTGGTGATGGGCTGGGGACAGCTAGAGACAGAAAGTGGCCTCTAATGGGGACAGTTTCTTTTTGGGGTGATGAAGATGATGTCTGCACAACCTGTAAATACACAAAACCACAGAATTACATACTTTAAAAGGGTAAACTTTGTAACAGTGAAGTGAGTTCACAGTACAGTGGATACTATGTGTCTATCATTCAGTCAAGAAATAGAGCATCATAATGACCTTTTAAATCACTGCTCTTTCCCCACATGAACCATGTGGCTCAACCCCTCATTTTGTTCAGAATTCTGCTCACATTTTACCTCTTCAGATAGACCTGCCCTGAATATCCCATCTTAAATAGTGCCCTTTGCTTGTCACTCTTTATTCCTCTTACCCTGCCTTAAGAAATTAAACTTACTACTTACTACAGTTTATGCTTGAACAATGGGTTGGATGTCCACCCTACCTACAATCAAATTTTTGTATAACTTTTCCGTTGGTTCTCTGTATCCACAGTTCAGCCTCTGAGGAGTCAGCCACCTTGGATCTTGTAGTACTGCAGTACAAGCATATTTACTGGAAAAATATGATGTAAGGGGACACAGTTCAAACCTGTGTTTTTCAAGGGTCACCTGTGTTTTTACAGTACTGCATTGTACCTGAGTTACATTTATTTACTATCAGTCTCCTTCCATCGCACCTCAGATGAGTCTGATGGACAGAGGTTGTCTGTTTCTTGCAGTGCTCCATGTGTAGTCTCTAGAGCAGTGGCTGTCGTGAACATGGTGCTCATTAGATGTTGATTCAATGAATAAATAAATCCTCTGTCTTTCAGAGTTCAAGAAGTACTTCCTCTTCTCTTACTCGGTTCTTCTGGACTTAGCCCCTATTCTGAATTCCTCTGATACTGTCTTTACTTTGGCACCAAGTTCAACTTTTATATTAATGTTTGTATATCTTGTCTGTCCCTTATGGTATCTTTTTCTTTGCGCAGCAAGTCTAACACAGTAAGATTAAGCAGATGCTCAATACATTTTAAAGTGAGCTTATTGGTGTAGCAACTCTGTTTATTTGGGATGTGCTGGGTTTTCGCTGCCGCTCAGGCTTTTGTCTAGTCGTGTGCCTGGACTTCTCATTGTGTGGCTTCTCCTGTTGTGCAGCACAGGCCCAGGGTACAGGCCTCGGCGGCTGTGGCTCCCAGGCTCAGGGCACAGGCCTCGGCGGCTGTGGCTCCCAGGCTCAGGGCACAGCCCTCGGCGGCTGTGGCTCCCAGGCTCAGCCCCTGCAGCCCTCGGCGGCTGTGGCTCCCAGACTCAGCGCACAGCCCTCGGCGGCTGTGGCTCCCAGGCTCAGGGCACAGGCCTCGGCGGCTGTGGCTCCCAGGCTCAGGGCACAGCCCTCGGCGGCTGTGGCTCCCAGGCTCAGGGCACAGGCCTCGGCGGCTGTGGCTCCCAGGCTCAGGGCACAGCCCTCGGCGGCTGTGGCTCCCAGGCTCAGGGCACAGCCCTCGGCGGCTGTGGCTCCCAGGCTCAGCCCCTGCAGCCTTCGGCGGCTGTGGCTCCCAGACTCAGCGCACAGCCCTCGGCGGCTGTGGCTCCCAGGCCTAGGGCACAGCCCTCGGCGGCTGTGGCTCCCAGGCCTAGGGCACAGCCCTCGGTGGCTGTGGCTCCCAGGCTCAGGGCACAGCCCTCGGCGGCTGTGGCTCCCAGGCTCAGGGCACAGCCCTCGGCGGCTGTGGCTCCCAGGCCTAGGGCACAGCCCTCGGCGGCTGTGGCTCCCAGGCCTAGGGCACAGCCCTCGGTGGCTGTGGCTCCCAGGCTCAGGGCACAGCCCTCGGCGGCTGTGGCTCCCAGGCCTAGGGCACAGCCCTCGGTGGCTGTGGCTCCCAGGCTCAGGGCACAGCCCTCGGCGGCTGTGGCTCCCAGGCTCAGGGCACAGCCCTCGGCGGCTGTGGCTCCCAGACTCAGCGCACAGCCCTCGGTGGCTGTGGCTCCCAGGCCTAGGGCATAGCCCTCGGTGGCTGTGGCTCCCAGGCTCAGGGCACAGGCCTCGGCGGCTGTGGCTCCCAGGCTCAGGGCACAGGCCTCGGCGGCTGTGGCTCCCAGGCTCAGGGCACAGCCCTCGGCGGCTGTGGCTCCCAGCCTCAGCCCCTGCAGCCCTCGGCGGCTGTGGCTCCCAGCCTCAGGGCACAGCCCTCAGCGGCTGTGACTGCCAGGCCCAGGGCACAGGCCTCGGCAGCTGTGGCGGCGGCTGTGGCTCCCAGCCTCAGGGCACAGCCCTCGGCGGCTGTGGCTGCCAGGCTCAGCCCCTGCAGGCCTCGGCGGCTGTGGCTCCCAGGCCCAGGAGCTGTGGCACATGGGCTTAGTTGCTCTGCAGCATGTAGGATCTTCCCAGATCAGCGATCAGACTTGTGTCTTCTCTGTTGGCAGGTGGATTCCTTACATTGAGCCTCCAGAGAAGCCCGCAACTTCTTAATCTGTATGATGTTGTCATAAGTCCCTTAGTTTATTTAACAAATTCATTTATTTATCCAACAAATATTTATTGAATGTTAGTGATAATCACTATGAGCAAAATAAAACTGGGTGATCAGAAAAGAAGTTCCTCTGTGAAGGTTGCTGGAGTTTGAGATTATAGCTGTACATTGTATATAGTGGAGTAGGGCCTTAAGGAAGAATTTCAAGACATCTTCTAGCGTGTCACTCACTTATTGTTATGAAGAGCCAAGAGGGTCCAGTCACAGACTGATTATGAAAATTGGGTAATTCCTCATATCCAAGCCAGAGGCAAGAAAGAACTTTTAGTTGGAAATCTATATTTCATGCTTTCTCTCTTTTCTTTTACTTGAATTAAGATTGAAGTAAGATTGAATGTCAGATATTGTATTTATTACAGTTACAAGGTAAATTGCAGTTAGGTTGGCAAATATCAGTAGTTTAAAATAAATCTAAATCACAAGAAATTTTCTTTCCCTCATACTGATTGAAGCCCTGTTTACCTAGCTAACCTGCAAATCAAAGGGAAACTTAATATTGCAAGTGAATGATTTGTTTATGTTAAACATCACCCAAGGCTCATCAAGATAGTATTAGACATCAGTGAGCTTTTTAATATTAGACATGACTTTTTAGTCATCTTAATTCTGTCCTTAAAATGATTTTCCTTATATATCAGAAGATTCGAAATTTGAAGTTGAATTTTAATTGAATTTTAATATCTGTCTGATGCTTCAGTCTAAACTAATGAAACTGTTTTATATTTGGTTACACTGTATCTCTTAATAGCAAACCTTGCTTAGTTTGCTGCAGATGTACATCATCTTGGACTGCCATGACAGCATAAAGGAATACTACACAGTATAGAGAAACAAGTTCACCGTGTGATTAAAAGGACATAATTATGCTGAACTGCTGTGTGATACGAGATGTTTTACAGGATTTTCTTTTTTATTCCAATGTTGCTAAGGATTTGCAGCGTTCATTACCAGCTGGACTTGGTCTCTCAGAAACGCAAATCACATCTCATGGCTTTGACAGTACCAAAGAGGGGGTTATTGAAGCAGGAGCATTTCAAGGTAAGGAACCCATTATTTTTAAAGATGAGCCAGGTAGAAGATGGGAGAAGGTCACCAAATGCTACCTTTATTAGAGTTGAGAACTTTTAATTTCATGATAAAACACTGATTATAAACATAATCCTTTTTCTCTTCAATTTAATTTAGGAATTGTTTGAATAGTTGTCTTTATATAAACAGATCAATGTGCATAATTTCACTGATTGCTACTTGAAAATTGGTTTTAAAATACTGAAATAAAAGCTCAAAAATTATATCAAGACTGCAGATTTAAATTATTTTAGTGGTAACCACAAAACTTATGTCAATATTGATTTGTATAAATACATATTTCTTATTTCAAAGCAACTAGAAAATGAAACTTTTATTTTTCTTACTCTATATTCTGTGTCGGCAGTCTCCCAAGAGCACCCTCCAGTAAAGTAATTTTCAAAGAGGACTAACAGGACTCAGTATATAGTCATAATTCAGACTATGATTACAGCAAAAGTATACTGAGCACGGTTGGCAAAGGCAAAGGATGCCTGAGCTAAAGATTGAGGGAGACGAAGCATCACTTGCAAGGGCCCTTTCCCGGTCCAGTCACACAGGACATGCTTCATTCTCCTAGCAGAGCTGTGACAACAAATGTGAAATCTTGCTAACCAAGGAAGATAAAATTAATGCCTAGGATTCTTATTGGAGATTGTTCACATAGGCACCCTCTGCCTCGCATGTGCTCAGATTCCAGACTCCCAGAAGGAAAGCATAAACCACATTGTTTGTATAAACAGTTTAGGCATAGTGAGCAAGTCTTACAATTCCGGGAATGGCGAGAATCACTCCAAAATTATAAGTTCTCAGATGCCAACTGAGAGCTAATCTTTTGTAAACTGGTCTTTTCAAGGGTAAATAGTTAGACCTAGTATGTTAGCTCTTTTCTGCATATATCCCATGTATATATTTTTTCTTTTTTAATATAAAGAAAAATACTTCCTTTTTAAATACTCTTGCCTATAATAACCTTTTTAGGTATTTTTTCATTTCTATACAAGTGAAAGAAAGTGAAATCATGTGGATGTAAAAATGGATTGTTTTCTTGACAGAGCTCTAGTTAAAGTAGCAATAGTTGGGTGTTCAATGAAGTATTTTAATTTTAATACTGCATTCAGTTCAGTTCAGTTGCTCAGTTGTGTCCAACTCTGTGACCCCATGGACTGCAGCATGCCAGGCCTCCCTGTTCATCACCGACTCCTGGAGCTTGCTCAGACTCAGGTCCATCGAGTCGGTGATGCCATCCAACCATCTCATCCTCTGTCGTCCCCTTCTCCTCCTGCCTTCAATCTTTCCCAGCATCAGGGTCTTTTCCAATGAGTCAGTTCTTTGCATCAGGTGGCCAAAGTATTGGAGCTTGAACTTCAGCATCAGACCTTCCAATGAATATTCAGGGTTGATTTCCTTTAGGATTGACTGGTTTGATCTTGCAGTTCAAGGGACTCTCAAGAGTCTTCTCCAATGCTTCTCCATTTCAAAAGCATCAGTTCTTCGGTGCTTAGCCTTCTTTATAGTCCAGCTCTCACATCCATACACAACTACTAGAAAAACCGTAGCTTTGACTATATGGACCTCATTGGTAAAGTAATGGCTCTGCTTTTTAATATGGTGTCTAGGTTTGGTCGTAGCTTTTCTTCCAAGGATCTTTCTTCCAAGCATCTTTTAATACTGTATTATAATTTCACAAATTGAAAAAAAATCTCCATGCCTTTGTACTCCTTAGCCCTCTTGCAGTATTCTATATTTTATTATACTAATGGTCTATATTTTAGTGAGAAACAACTTATATTTTAAAATATATTCCTTGCTAAATGGATCCTAGAAATAGGCATTTAGAGTAACCCAGTATAGTATCTTCTACTCTAGGCTGTAAAATGAGTGGGCTCTCTGACATCATTTTTTTACCCTTTTCATTCTTATGTTCACAAAAATACAGATATAGAAAGGAAGCATATGTATCGTATCTCAGTAGTCATTGTATAGCATTGTGGTGGTGTTCTCTAGGCCGTAACTTTGAACTTGAGAGGCTGGCTGACTGCCTAAGACTGTGAACGTTTGAAGACCCATGGCACACTTTGTGTGACAACGTGCAACATTTTCCGACCAGCCACCAATTTCCAAATTTAAATGTCAACATAGAATTAAAAAAAAGACTTTTACAATTAAAACATTTGAAGATTTTCAGTGGAATTATTTAGCTGACATTTGGTTTTATCCTTTCCCCCTTAAACAGAATAGTATATGCAATAATCAAAGTCAGCTGGCATTGTAACCTGTTGTACATGAACATGAAGTGCCAGTCAATTTCACTTGCTTACAGATCCATGGTAGTCCCTCAAATTGGAGTAAAAAATATGTTTTGTGATAATGGCAGTAATTTGTGTCTCTTTGAATTGACTTTATAAAACATTTTTTAAAACAAGCTACATAGTTAATCAGTATGTTAAAAAGATAATCATTCTGTCATACTCAGATTCGTTAAGCATTTACTGGAAAGTTGTAGTCAAGTGTTCTTGTTTTGAGGCATGTATACATAAATTGGAATGAACATGATTTTCTCATGTTTAAAATTTAGAATATGTTCTTATTGTTGTTCAGTTGCTAAGTCATGTCCAGCTCTTTGCAACCCCCATAAACTGCAGTATGCCAGACTTCCCTCTCCCTCACTATCTCCCAGACTTTGCTCAAACACATGTCCATTGAGTCAGTGATGCCATCCTCTGTTGCCTGCTTCTCTTTCTGCCCTCAACCTTTCCCAGCATCAGGGTCTTTTCCACTGAGTTGGCTCTTTACATCAGGTGGCCAAAGTATTGGAGCTTCAGTTTCAGCTTCAGCCCTTCCAATGAATATTCAGGGTTGATTTTCTTTAGGATTGCCTGGTTTGATCTTGCAGTCCAAGGGATTTCAAGAGTCGTTTCCAGCTCAATTCGAAAGCAACAATTCTTCAGTGCTCAGCCTTCTTTATGGTCCAGCTCTCACATCCATACATGACTACTGGAAAAACCATAGCTTTGACTATATGGACCTTTGTTGGCAAAGTGCAGTGTCTGCTTTTTTTAGTTTTTAGTTTTAAGCCAGGTTTTTCACTCTCCTCTTTTACCCTCATCAAGAGGCTCTTTAGTTCCTCTTCGCTTGTCATTAGAGTGGTATTATCTGTATATCTGAGGTTGTTGATATTTCTCCTCGCAGTCTTGATTCCAGCTTGTGATTCATTCCAGTCTGGCATTTAACATAATGTACTCTGCATATATAAGCAGGGTGACAGTATATAGCCTTGTCGTACTTCCTGCCCAATTTTAAACCAGTTCATTTTTCCATGTAAGGTTCTCACTGTTGCTTTCTGTCCTGCATGCGGGTTTCTCAGGAGACAGGTAAGGTGGTCTGGTATTCCCATCTGTTTAAGAATTTTCCACAATTTGTTGTGATCCACAGTGTCAAAGACTTCTCACATAGTCAGTGAAACAGAAATAGCTGTTTTTCTGAAATTCCCTTGCTTTCTGTATGATCCAGTAGATGATGGTAATTTGGCCTCCGGTTCCTCTGCCTTTTCTAAATCCAGCTTTTACATCCAGAAGTTCCAATTCACATACTGTTGAAGCCTAGCTTGAAGGATTTTGAGCATTACCTTGCTAGCGTGTGAAATGAGTGCAATTGTGTGGTAGTTTGAACATTCTTTTTATTTCCCTTCTTTGGGATTGGAATGACCTTTTCCCGTCCTGTGGCCACTGCTGAGTTTTCCAAATTTGCACATATTGAGTGCAGCACTTTAACAGCATCATCTTTTAGGACTTGAAATAGCTCAGCTGGAATTCCATCACCTCCATTAGCTCTGTTCATAGTAATGTTTCCTAAGGCCCACTTGACTTCACACTTTAGGATGTCCAGTTCTAGGTGAGTGTCCACACCATCATGATTGTTCGGGATATGATAGTTCTGTGTATTTTTGCCACCTCTTAATCTCTTCTGCTTCTGTTAGATCCATACTGTTTCTGTCCTTTCTGTCCTTTATTGTGCCAATCTTTTCATGAAATGTTCCCTTGGTATCTCTAATTCTCTTGAAGAGCTCTCTAATCTTTCCCATTCTGTTGTTTTCCTCTATTTCTTTGCATTGATCACTGAGGAAGGCTTTCTTATTTCTCCTTGCTATTCTCTGGAACTCTGAATTCAGTTGGGTATCCCCAAGAAAACGAATTGCAAGAAGATGAAAGTGGCTGTCTGAGAAAGCCTTACGAATAGCTTAGAAAAGAAGAGAAGCGAAAGGCAGAAGAGAAAGGGAAATATATACCCAACCAAATGCAGAGTTCCAGAGAATAGCAAGAAGAGATAAGAAAGCCTTTTTAAGTGAACAAAATTTAGGATGAAAAAATGTCTCATGAGAAAAGGTTAGGAGTTGGGGCTCTGTTTGCTCTCTGGGAAAATGACTGAATGATAACTTTATAAGGATTTTATTACCATTTATTTTTCCATCTCTGGAGCAAATTTAGAAGAAATTGTGCTTTAATTCAGTGTAACAATAAATATTGAAATCTACTCAAGAAATATATGGTAGAATCAATAACAGTGGAAACCATGAATAAATCAAAACTCTTAAGAGTGAGTTGTTCTTGGTATCTGAGTTTTGTTTTAGTGGGGTTTTGATCGTTGCATACACATTCATATTCCTGGACTTCTGTTGAGAGAAAACTGAGCTAATTCTCCAAATTTCATCAATTAACAAAAGCCTAGAGTTTTAAGAGTTATTTTTGTTGGAGTGATTTACTTATTATTCGTGAATGATTTTAGTAACTAAATTAGTCTGACTTAAAGATTTGAAGATACAGAGAACAATTAACCCTTGAAAGTAAAGCAGATAGTTGAAGGTATCTACTTACCTCAGCACTATGTCTTTTTGCTACTTTAGTTTGGAAAGTTCTGTATCATTTGTGACATATATGTTATACATATCTCATGTTAAATCATGGGATTATTTCTTATGCAAGATTAATAAACAATAATAGCCAGAACAACAGGGCTATGTTCCTGGGATTATCACAAAATGGAATTATAGTAGTCATCATTTATTGAACTCTTCTTTATGTAATAGTAGAGATGGAGTTTTTGTTTAAAGTAATGATTGCATTGGATAAGCCATTAAATGCCTTCCAGCTTAACGAGTAATTTATGGATTGATGTTTTTTGTTTTGAATTTAATAACAGATATTTTGGTATGGATTCAGAACATCTGAGGATCTAATAAGCTGTTTAAACCTCTCTGAGCCTCTTTTTTCCTGTAGTTTAGTGTTAGACTAGTTGATTTCTATTGTCCGTTCCAGTTTTAAATTTTTGTGGTTCAGATTTTTTTTTGAAAGACGGGCATCTCATTTTGAAAGGTAATGCCATTCTATTTAGATACATTGCGTGTTTTGGATTTTAATGTTAGATTCAGTCCAGATTAAGTTTTCCATATTAAAACTAGTGACTGTTCCTGATCAGAACTGGGATATGAGAAAGTTGACATGTAATTCTTATTAGAATATTTAATTATAAATTTGATATGTTATAGGTTTTTAGAAAACTGGAAAAGAGTGTAGTTGTAATAAAATTATCTTAGAAACATTAAAATATATTCAGCTAAATGTGAAGGATGTTAATAATTTTTTCAGTTTCTTTTCAATGATCACTTCCCTGAAGACATACAACCTTTAGAATTTAAAATAGTCAATTGAAACTGTACAGTTTTATGCTGGACATTAGCAACAATGTTGGGTACTCAATTTTTCTTACTTTTTAAACAAACTAAGGCTCAGAGATCTTGAGTAATTTGCCAGGGTGTTCCTGATACTATTTGATAAATAGAGCCAGAATTTCAAACCCAGAGTTAGAATTTTAAAACTCAGTGTATTTCATTCCAAAATTGTATTCTTTCCTCAGGTTCTCAAATTTAGTTGTGTTTGAGAATAAGTAGCTTTTAAAAAACTACTGTTGCCTAATGAGCAGCATGGTGACTATAGTTAATAATAATGTATACTTGAAATTTACTGATAGATCTCAGGTTTTCTCACCACACACAAAGAAGGTAGCTATGTGAGGTGATGGATGTAATTTTGTTACAGTGTATACATATATCAAAAATCACTTTTTACACCTTAAATATATGCTATTTTTATTTATCTAATAAATAAAACCAGAAAATCAATCTAATAAAAAAGCTAAAGCTTTCCACTCCCCCCGCAAAAACAAAGCTCTAAAGATAACCTGTTTTTGTGATAATCAGTAGATCTTGTGGAATGTCTCAGGTATGTTTTAAAAGCTTCAGAAGTCTTATGATTAATCAGAATAGCACTCTGTATTATCACTTCTCAGGCTGCAAAACGCATACAAATCACCTGAAGATCTTGTGAAAATGCAGATTCTGGTTAAGTAGGTCTGTATTTCTGAGGAGCTCCGAGATGACGTAATTGATGGAAACCCCTTGCATCCATACTATGAGTAGTAGTAATCTGTACTAGGTGATACTTGAGTTATGATTTGAACTTTTGGCTATAATTTCTGTGAAGGCTGATCCACTCACATTTCTGTGAATGTTAATGATAAATTTGATATAAGTGTTACGTGACTTTGTATTTCTACTTGAGCTTTCCTCCCTGTGTTAGAGTAGCAAGTTACAAAATGTTGAGTTAAGCTTTAATATCATTCAGCTGTATCCTTTAATCACATACTTTTAATTGATTTGAAAATAACAAAGTCCAGGTGAAGTCCTACTTAAACATGATCTTACCAAGTTTCTTCTTACAGTTATGTGTTTTGTTTGGTTTTTATAGTTTGATGAAAAGTTTCTAAGAACTCATCCTGGTAGCATTCATTTATTACTCGTCCATTTCTTCATGAAAGCAAGTATATTAGTTCCCAACTTTTAATCCTTTTTTTGAATGTTTTAAAGGCAATGTCAGTACAGCTGTATTCAAAATGTATGTTGTGTGGAGGAAGAGAAGCATTTTCACAGAGAAATGTCTGCCCTTTTCAGGTTGCCCAGCACCACCTCTGCCATCTGTTATGTCCCCCAGCAGGGTGGCAGCTAGCCGACTGACTCAACAAGGAAGTGATTTAATTGTTCCTGCAGGTATTCACTGCACTGGTTGGATAAAGCCCTTCTTGCTACTGCTGAAGCTAAACTAACTCACTCAGTTTCATATCGCTTGCTTTATATTCTTAGGTGTGTGTTATTCTGGCTTTTCTGGTGGCTGCTTTTTTTTTTTTTCTTTTAACAATAAGGAAAGTAATCTCTCTAACCATAGCTTATCTTTCTGGCTTTTCAAAGTTTATTAGGTGCAATCTCAAACATGAAATTTAAGTAACTTTATGAGAAAAAAGCACTATAAAGTTTGATTCATTTTTAATCTACCTTTCTTTTCTTTGCTCTGGAAAATGTTACTTTACTTATTTGATCCTGAACTCTCAGCTTTGCAGCTCTGCCATCTGTTTTCAGTTAAATAAAAAAGGACTTTCAACAGTTGGGTTGTTCATTATTTGGAATGAATCAAGTGGAAAAGGTTGTGTCTTCCTGTTTTCAACTTTGACTTAACAACTAGTTGTCAAATTGCATCAAAATACTATGTAATTTTCCAGTTATGCCCAGTGAAAAGTACTGGGAAAAACCTATTTCTTTGCATTGGATTTGCTTTTCACTTTAATATTGCTGGACTATAAAAACAGGGCAAAAAGTAAACTCTGTGTTTCTTTTTACATTAAATGTTAATATTTTATATTTTGTTTATGTGAGAATTTTGTAAGTTCTTAAATGCATTTGATTTTATATACTGTTCTCCTTCTTAGATTATATAAAACTGTGGTAAAGCCTGGCCTGGCTATAGGGGTGAGAGAAGAAATTTTTGCCGACTCTATCCTTCTAAAACCATTTTATAAAATGTTTTCTCTTGTCTTTTTTTAAAATTGTTATTTTAAAATTATGATATCTATATTCCAAGTTATTAGCATCATAAATGTTACTAAATATGTTCTTCTGTGAAAAGTATTTTACTGTGAGAAACTGTATAGCTGTGGAGTTGCTGTTATGTCATAATTTCTTAGTTGTTGGGGTAACGCATTATCAGGGCTTTATACTACTTGTATTAATTATGGCTTTGGGGGAAGTGCTGGGTTTCCTGAGAAAAAACTGAGGCACAATGTAGGTCTTGTTTTAACAAAACGTCATATACTACAGTAAGATATTTCTAATGACTATCTAAAGTTATAGTATTTTTAAACCCTCCAAAATTTTTGTAACATTCTGTTGTTGCTCTCTTCTATGTAGTATAATGAAAGGAGGTCACTGTGAAGAGTGTGAGTGAGCCTTTCAGATTTTTAATGACAGTTCTTTAAGAATCATTAGGTTATAAGATAAATTGTGAAAATTTTATTTTCCTTGAAGTAAATAGCAGTTTAGGGAAGAAAGCCTATTGCAGCATTTTTTTTTTCTTTTAAGAAGATAGACAAACCAAAGAAAATTTTTTTTACAGTTTCAGGAAATCATCCTTAAAATGATTTCAAGAAGTTCTGGTCCTTTACTTTGTGGGAACCTCCTTATTTCTTTAAATGCATAAGTAGTTTAATTTGAACTGCATCCATGTTTTGTTTTCTTTCTACTTGTCTGTGTGGTTTGCATTTTTATGTTTTGTTCTGATGTTACAGGTGGCCAAAGAACACAGACAAAAAGTGGGCCAGTTATTCTAGCAGATGAAACTAAAAATCCTGCAATGGAAAAGTTAGAACTTGTTAGAAAATGGAGTCTAAATACCTACAAGGTTTGTAATTTTTTTTAATGTTTCCACCCCAAGTAGCTCTAAGAATTTCATTCGAATATTACTCAAATTATTATTTTGCAATTATATAAATGTATAGGAGAGAATAATGCTCTTTAAACATAAATATACAATTAAAAATATTTTGTCTTACTGATCTTTGCATAAATGTAGTTTAAAAAGTCAGTAGGTTGAGTTCTAAAAAGAGCTACTAAAGTTCTTATTAATTGACAGATAACACATAATTAAAGAAGAGATATGTCTGGGAGCACATTTAGCTGTAGAACTGCCATAGATATGTTTGTCACAACCTCCATCTTTTTGATACTTTATAGCAGTGGAATGTCAAGAGGTATATTAGTTTTCCAAAGTTTGGAATTCTCTGATCTTATTGTAATAACTAAGCACTAAACTGTACACATAGTATATGAGTTAGATTTCAAAGGTTTATTGTTGTTAAGTGTATTGCTTCAGAGTAAGTATTGATTACTTTTCTTACATTCTCCTAAAGTAAATAAGCAAAATTTACTCTGAAGCAATACAGCTATATTTGATGTGTTACAAATAGAGAGCTCAAACCCCAAATTAGTACCTTTGAATCTTAACAGGGATGAGACAGTAGAATTCGTAGAATAGTTAAGTGGATGAAAACCCTAACAGTTCTATTTAGAGCTCAGTGTTAACACTCGCTCTCTTTGTGAATTGGTAGTGGGCCTAGTGGTTTGTAAATCAGGAATTGTCTGTATTTTTATACAGGAGTCTCTTATGTATCTTCTAAAGAGTAACACAGAAGTGCATTTATTTTTTCAGTTAGTATTTTTAAAGTATGATCTTCAATTTTCCACAAAAGTACAGGTTTTCTTAAGATGATAAAAGTGCCCTGAAACTGCTGCATGAAACTTTCCAACAATGGTTTAGCTCATGTCCATGCAGAGCTGAGAAATGCCAGTGGCAGCCATCAGAACTCGACGCCTGCCGGGCTCTTCTCCTTCAGGATACGCTGTGTGCCTGTTGTGCCTTTCGTTCTCGGGGACGTGGGTTCTCTCATTCCATGAATACTGTGTTTCCTTTGGTACTCCTTCGTATCGCAGCAGTTCATCCAAGTATTCAGATGTCTACTTCATCTCCTCACTGATCCCACGTGCCCAGTTAGTTATTAAATGGACTCTGCCTCCTTAATGTTGTTCGACTGTATCCTCGTCTCCATCTCACACTTCACAGCCCTGTGATAACCTCTTACACTACTGTAGTAGCTTCTCAACAAGTTATCTCATCCTGCAGGTTCTGCTCTGCCTGGCATGGTTCATTTTGCTTAAGTCTATCTCTTGGTCCCCGTCTACCCTTCCATTTTTATCCTGCCGCTCCTCTCTTCCACCCGCAGAGCTTGTGGTCCATACCAGCTTCTCCAGAGGGTTCCTAAACAAGCTGTGCTTTCTCATGCCTCTGCAGCTTTGTTCACGGGCTGTGTTAGCCCACTGCCTGAAATGCCCCTTCATACTCCCTTTCATTTCACTTGTTTATCTTTCATACCAGACTGAGTCTCACTTATTTATTTATTAAATACGTTTATTCAGCCGTTCCATTGTTCATTTATTCCTGAAATTTTAGCCACACATTTTGAGTCTAAAGAATACAGGTCTTATTTTTTAACCAAATCCTAATAATCCTAATTTTACAATTTATCAAGTTTAATTTTTTGTCATTTTGGACTTCCTCTCTTGTTGCAGTTGTGTTTTCCTTGTTGCTTATCTTTTTTTTTTTCCTGTATGTGTGTGTTTATCAACTGTTCTTTTCTTCTTTTACCTCTACAGTAATCAGAGTTGAATCATTATTAGTTTATAGTTATCTCTGCCTTAACATGGGGCTTCCCAGGTTGCTCAGATGGTAAAGAATCCCCCTGCAATGCAGGAGACCCAGGTTTGGTCCCTTGGTCAGAAAGCTCCCTTGAAGAGGGAGTGGCTACCCATTCCAGTATTCTTGCCTAGAGAATTCATGGACAGAGAATTCATGATCCACAGGAGTCCATAGGGTTGCAAGGAATGGGACATGACCTAGCAACTAACATTTTCACTTCTTTTCTATGTTAACATACCACATTCAGATTTTCTGTTATTGAAAATAACCAAACTTCGTAATGTATACACATGACATAGTACTGTGTGAAGGAGTTCTCATTCTTTCAGAGTGATTTTATTTTTAACTGAAAAATTGTTTTCATCAGAATAATTTGTATATCTCAATCTAAGTCAAAAGAGAGAAAGTCCTAGCTTAAGTGATTTTATGGAGCTTGTAGCTCAGTGTGTCTGGACTGACATACAACTCTGTTCTTCTGGCTTTTTGACCTTCTTAGTCCAAATTATGAGCTGACATAGGACATTCATTGTCATCAGGATAATCTTTCAAGTGTCGATTCTGATTTGTGCTCATTACCTATCATACTCTGAGGAATTTGATTCTGGCTGACTTTGATCCTCTTTCATAGACTTCAGTTTCTTCATGATTTTTGTTTTTAATTTCTTCTGTCTGTTTCTGTTCTCTGGCAGACACTTTAAAGCTTTTACTCAAAGAGAATATTAGCACTTCTTTATTGGTGTTTAATAAAGGAAGTGCTAATATTGATCCCAAGGTTAGTGTAGTGATTAAAACCAAATATGTAATAGAAGTGATTTTAAGTTTAGGCCTTGAACCTATTTTCTTAAATATTATTTTAATCTACCTGATTACAGTTTGAATCCAAAATTTATTTATTTTCTTATTTTTTCTCATCTGCAGGAATCAATATGAATAATAAACTCTGGTTTACCATTTTTGTTCATTTTTGTATTTTGCAAATACAGGGTACTTGTAAAAGTCTATCTTATTTTTTTAAGAATAATCTCAGTTTTAGTACTCAGACCTATTAATGTCTCTTCCAAATATTAAATTCTTTTCAAAAATGTTTTAAGAACTTGCTACCAGTATTCATAGAAAGAAAGTGAAGTCGCTCAGTCGTGTCCGACTCTTTGCGACCCCATGGACACCAGGCTCCTCTGTCCACGGGATTTTCTAGGCAGGAGTACTGGAGTGGGTTGCCATTTCCTTCTCCAGGGGATCTTCCCGACCCAGGGATCGAACCCGGGTCTCCCACACTGTAGACAGACGCTTTACCGTCTGAGCCACCAGGGAGTCCTCAGTCGTGTCCGACTCTTTGAGACCCCTTGGACTATATATAGTCCGTGGAATCCTCCAGGCCAGAATACTGGAGTGGGTGGCTTTTCCCTTCTCCAGGGGATCTTCCCAACCCAGGGATGGAACCCAGGTCTCCTGCATTGCAGGCTGATTCTTTACCAGCTGAGCCACCAGGGAAGCCCGAACCAGTATTCATACCTTTAGCAAATTAGTATTTGCTGACTTAAAGCCAGTGTCTTTTAAACTTTCATTCCTGGCTTTCTTACCATATTGTCTTATTTATTTACTGGTTTTTCTGTTTCCACTGTTCAGCTTCTGCTATTTACTTTTATGCTCCCTTCTTCCCTATCCTTAAGTCTTAACAACTTTCTTAACATAGTATCTGTCTTTTGCTGCCATTAGCTTATTCTTTTCCTTGTACCTAATTGTTTTATTCTAAGCTCTTGGTGCTATTTAAATACTAATAGTATCCAGTGATTATCTTATAAATTCATGACCTGTACGGTGGAGATTCGTGGTATTTTATACACTATTTGTCATTATTCTATCCTCTCCCAAGTAGGAGATCTCCGCAGGGCAGTGATTACTTTTGCTTCTTCCTGCCCGTTTAACCTGGTTCCACTTGTCCTTAATTTATATGGAAGGCTGAGCAGGACCGCAGGTCACGGCAAGTCATATCTGCATTTCCAGGGGCTTTGGAGAAGCGTAAAGAACTGAGAACTTTTAGTTGTCTTTTGTTTTAAACTTACTTTATGATATATACTGACCTTCAATTTTGCACTTCAGTTTCAGTGTTTACTAGGAAGCGACTTAAATAAAATTCTGGTTTTTTAGTGGTCATGTGAGAAGCCTGCTCCGGGACTCTGATGAGTGGAGAAATGCCTAGTAACTTGGTTTCTCACTGCAGCTTTCTTTGCAAAGTTCCACATAGGCTGTCTATAGCATTCTCACCTCCTGCTGACTTAGATTTCCTTGAGAGTGGCTAGTCATCTGTACTGGAATGTAAGCTCTGTAAGTTCAGTTTCGAAACTTGTTTAAGGCGTCCAGATTAGATGCCTTATACGCTTGCCTTACTTTTCCCATGGCCATGGCTTCCTGGAAAGAAAAATTTCCTCATTGAACCTTTGACCTTGCTGTCTGCTCATCACCACTATTTCTGTAAAAAATGACCACTCAGACAAAAGTAGACATTTCTTTCATTTTGCCTAGTCTGCCAAGTTCCTTCACTGAATTTTGGCTTCTTGATTTTCAACAGACTATTATATCTGGGTTGCTATGGAAGGTACCACATGCTTTGGCTTAAGAGTAGGTACATGCCTCTGATAATATTCTATTGCATAGGGAAAATCCCCGTGTGGAAGAAAAGTGGAAATGAGTGGTATATCTTGATCTTGTTACCATTTCAAATATTACTTGCTGATGTTTCTCTCATTAAAATCACAAAGTCTGCAGTTAAACATTCTCTTTATATGTTTTTCATCTCCAAAGAGTGTTTGTATGTTTTCCATAAAAATAGTTTTATCCCTTCTTTGAGTTTGGCCTTTGATCTTCCTGTCATTTTCTATATAGTTAATTTGTCTACTTTTTTTTTTTAAGAACTCCTTTATTAAAAAATGTTTATTTGTAAAGATCCTTAATTGATTATAATAGAGAGTGTCAGGTAATTCATTTCAATTTTAAATAGAAAAATGTAAGTAACATATATGTTAACATTAAAAGGATAAATAATACATTTATATTTGTTGACAAGGAAAAGTTTCAAGATATTTGTTCTTAGAAAAATGCTCTGAATATTATGTATAGCATAGCATAGTCTCATGTTTACTTTAAAAATATTACAATGTGATTATATAGGTTTAAAGGAGAGTCTAATTAATACTTTTCTACTATCTAGTCAAATTAAAGGAAGAGGACATTCATTTTTATTTCATTCATTATTTTCACTTATACAACAACTACTAATTCTGTAACCAAAACTTTAAAAGACATGATAAAATAACAAATTGGCAAATTTTAAAAATTGGAATGTTTATTTACTACTTTTTAGAGTACTTTTGTTAACTTTAAATGATAATGATGATATTAATGCCCTGTATGGTTGCTCTGATAATGTATTGTTGAGTGGTAAACTGAAAGCTGTAAGCTCTTGTATCATTTCTGGGGCAGAAACAGAATACCGTAGAATAGAGTAACATAGTTTAATGCTGTTTTATCTAGGCAAAAGTAGAAGAATTCAGAAATCTCTAATCTCTACCTCCTTCTCTGTCCTTCCCCCTTCCCTTCTCTCCACCCCCTCTTTTTTCTTTCTCCTTCCTTCCTTCCCTTCATTCTTCCTGCTCACACACACATACACAGCTATTTAAGGGAAAGCTAGAAGGGAAAAAAGCATTTGAAACTGATAAGAGAGTAGAATTTTTGGTATTATTCCTATATTAATAGTCCAGTATTCTTAAACCAATGCTAAGTATGTCAGTTGTTTTAAATCATCTACCAAAATGCACAAAGCTTGAAATATGATTACATGAGAGAACTCATCTGGCAGTATATAAATTAGCTAGGTAAGTTTTAAAAATTTCTCTGATGAATAATAGTTAATAAGCATGATTGGTAAATTTACTTTCTGAGTCCTGATGAACGTCCAAACGGGACTGAAAGTTTGTAGTTTGTTAGGCTGGCTTGTTTCAAGCCAGAAATGGTGTATACCCTTCGCTTCAGCATTTGCACTTTGGATTACTGCTTTTATCTTTTGTTCTTTTTTTTTCCCTAAACAAAATACATCTTTCTACTTTTAGTGCACTCGACAAATTATCTCTGAGAAGCTGGGCCGTGGATCAAGAACTGTGGACCTTGAACTTGAAGCTCAGATTGATATATTAAGAGATAACAAGAAAAAATACGAAAATATTTTAAAACTGGCTCAGACCCTGTCGACCCAGCTTTTCCAGATGGTGCATACCCAAAGGCAACTTGGAGATGCATTTGCTGACCTGAGTTTAAAATCACTGGAACTCCATGTAAGATTATTTGAAATAACTGTTGGAGGGGAAAGGGGTGAAAATGGCAATAGGAGTGTTCTAAGAGGCAATTTGTTACATTTCTGATTTGTTGAACTCTTAATAAAATTGGAATCTTGTGGTATTCTTTTAAGATATTTTATATAATTTTCAAGAAGGCCCAGCTGACTTTTGTCAAAATACTGATCCAAAGAAAATGTCAGCTGGAGTTTTCAGGGAAAGGGAACTTGGTTAGAGGAAAGGAAAAAGAGTACTCAGACTGCTTGAGCCTAGAAAGAATCATATATAATCATGTAAATAACTGGGTGTGGGTAAAAAGTAAATTCAGGCACCTGTTGAAAATCTTGGGGCTTCCCAGGTGGTGTTAGTGGTAAAGAATTTCCCTGCCAATGCAGAAGACACAGGTACGATCCCCGAGTCAGGAAGATCCCCTGGAGGAGAAAGTGGCAACTGTCTCCAGTATTCTTGCCTGGGAAATCCCCTGGCCAGAGGAGCATGGCAGGCTGTCATCCATAGGTTTGCAGGAGTTGGCCACAACTGAAGGAACTTAGCACAGCATGTTGAAAATCTCTTACCTAGTCTCTGAATGTCCTAAACAGTACTTAACTTGACTTGATTTGTGATACACTTTTACTGAAAGCATTAGTATAAATTATGAATTTTAGAATGAAATTGTTTTTCTGTGTATATCTATGTAAGTATGCAGCAGAAAGCATTATTAATTTCTCACACTATCTTTTTTTTGGCTGGCTCTCTGTTGCTGCATGTGGGTTTTCTCCAGCTGCAGCAAGCAGGGGCTCCTCTGTAGTTGTGGTGTGCTGGCTTCTCACTGCGGTGGCTTCTCTTCCTGGGAGCACGGGCCCTGGCGTGCACAGGCTTCAGTAGTTGCAGCCTGTGGCTTCACTAGTTGTGGCAAACGGGCTTAGTTGCTCTGCCACATGTGAGATCTTCCTGGACCAGGGATAGAACCTATGTCCTCTGAATTGCAAGGTGGACTCATAATCACTGGGCCACCAGGGAAGTCCCATCTGATGATATCTTAAATTACTCCTTTTGTGTCTTTTTTTCCTCACCTGGAACCAAAAGATGTAGAAATCCCTTTTCTACGAAAATCCCCTACAGACTAATAACTTGAGAAGTTAGATAATTTAGAGCATTAAATTATTTGTTAATAATCTAGAATCTTGGACAAAGTTTGGCTAGAGATGACAATATTGAGATAAATATTGAGATTCACTTCTAACTGAGTCACTAGACAAAAAGAAGAATGGAACTAATATTTAGGAAGATGAGTTATAGCAGCTGTTATTATTGAGTATCCACAATTTCAGTGTGATGGGTGGGGTGGTTTTTAGCCATTATATCATGTAATTTCTCTAATAACACTGGAAGAAATGTTATCCTGATTTTATAGATGAGGAAATTGAGGTCAGGATGGTTAGGTAGTTTTTATAAAATCATGAAAAACAAAAGATGTAAGTGGAATTTATATTCAGGCCTTTCTGTCTCTTTCTGATCTCTGCCTGTCTCTTTAAGTGAAACCTTTAGAAGGTGTGACCCAGAAAAAAATCCCCACAGTATGGAAAGAGATGATCAGAGTAGAGGGTCTGGGGAAGTACAGCAGTGTTATCAGTGATGCTACATTGACTAGAGTCTATTAGATTATAATACTTAACGCCAGTTGGGGACTTACTATACATCAGATACAGCTCTAAGTTGCTTACATATGTGTTATAGCTCATCTAATGCTCAGTCTTAGTTAGTAGTACTTTTATTACCTTTCTTTTAGATATGAAGTCCTTTAAAAAAAAAAAATGAAGGGTTACTCCTCCGTATTCGAGTCCATTGTTGTTATTGTTCAGTTGCTAAGTCATGTCCAGCTCTTTGCAACCCCGTGGACTATAGCACACCAGGTTCCTCTGTCCTCCACTGTCTCCCAGAAGTTGCTCTAATTCATGTCCATTGAGTCAGTGATGCTGTCTGACTGTCTAATCCTCTGCCACCCCCTTCTCCTCCTGCCTTCAGTCTTTCCCAACATCAGAGTCTTTTCTAGTGAGTTGGCTCTTCCCATCAGGTGACCAAAGGATTGGAGCTTCAGTATAGTCCTTCCAATGAATATTCAAGTTATTTCCTTTAGAATTGACTAGTTTGTTCTCCTTGCAGTCCAAGGAATTCTCAAGAGTCTTCTCCAGCACCACAATTCAAAAGCATCAGTTCTTCGGCACTCTGCCTTCTTTATAGTCCAACTCTCATATACATACATAACTACTGGAAGAACCATAGCTTTGAATATATAGACCTTTGTTGGCAAAGTGATGACTCTGCTTTTTAATACACTGTCTATGTTTGTTGTAGCTTTCCTTCCAAGGAGCATGCATCTTTTAATCTCTTAGCTGCAGTCACCATCCATAGTGATTTTGTTGTCCAAGAAAATCAAGTCTATCACTGTTTTCACTTATTCTCCTTCTGTTTGCCATGAAGTGATGGGACTGGATGCCATGATCTTAGGTTTTTGAATGTTGAGTTTCAAGCCAACTCCTTCACGCTGCTCTTTCACCCTCATTAAGAGTCTTTTTAGTTCCTCTTCATTTTGTGCCATTTGAGTGATACCATATGCATATTTGATGTTGTTGATATTTCTCCTGGCAGTCTTGATTCCAACTTGTGATTCATCCAGTCCAGCATTTCGCATGATATACTCTGCATCGAAGTTAAATAAATAAGGTGATATTATACAGCCTTACTCCTTTCCTAATTCTGAACCAGGCCAGTGTTTCAGGTCCAGTTCTAACTATTGCTTCTTGAACCACATACAGGTTTCTCAGGAGACAGGTAAGGTGGTCTGGTATTCCCATCACTTTAAGAATTTTCCACAGTTTGTTGTGATCTGCACAGTCAGAGGGTTAAATGTAGTCAGTGAAGCAGAAGTGGATGTTTTTCTGGAGCTCCTTTGCTTTCTTCACAATCCAATGAATGTTGGCAGTTTGATCTCTGGTTCCTCTGCCTTTTCTAAACCCAACTTGCACATCTGGAACTTTTCAGTTCATGTACTGCTGAAGCCTAGCTTGAAGTAACTTGAGCATATACCAGCTAGCATGTGAGATGAGTGCAATTGTGCAGTAGTTTGAGCATTCTTTGGCATTGCCCTTCTTTGGGATTGGAGTGAAAACTGACCTTTTCCAATCCTGTAGCCACTACTGGGTTTTCCAGGTTTGCTTGCATATTGAGTGCAGCACTTTAACAGCATCATCTTTTAGGATTTGAAATAGCTCAACTGAAATTCCATCACCTTCCCTAGCTTTGTTCATAGTAATGTTTCAGAGATTTCTCGTCTTTTCCATTTTATTGTTTTCCTCTTATTTCTTTGCATTGTTCATTTAAGAAGTCCTTCTCATCTCTCCTTGCTGTTCTCTGGAACTCTGCATCCGTTTGGGTGTATCTTTCCCTTTCTCCCTTATCTTTTGATTTCTCTTTCTTTCCTCGGCCGTTTGTAAACTCTCCTCAGACAACCACTTTGCCTTCTTGCATTTCATTTTCTTTGGGATGGTTTTGGTCACTGTCTCCTGTACAGTATTACAAACCTCAGTCCATAGTTCTTCAGCCACTCTATCAGATCTAATCCCTTGGATCTATTTGTCACCTCCACTGTATAAGGGATTTGATTTAGGTCATACCTAATCTTCGCCATCAGTGGTTGGGGCATAGACTTGCCTTACTGTGATGTTGAATGGTTTTCTTGGAAACGAACCATGATCATTCTGTCTTTTTTGATATTGCACCCAAGTACTGTATTTCATACTCTCTTGTTGACTGTGAGGGCTACTCCATTTCTTGTAAGGAATTCTCGTCCACAGTAGATATAATGCCCATCTGAATTAAATTCTGCTATTCCTATCCATTTTAGTTCACTGATGCCCAAGATGTTGATGTTCAGTCTTTACATCTCCTGCTTGTCCACATCCAATTTACCTTGATTCATGGACCTAACATTCTATGTTCCTATCCATCATTGTTCTTTACAGCATCAGACTTTACTTTCACCACCAGACACATCCACAGCTGCGCACCTTTCCGGCTTTGTCCTCGGCGCTTCATTCTTACCCGAGTTGTCAGGAATTGCCCTTCACTCTTCCCCACTAGCGTAGTGGACACTTCCGACCTAGGGAGCTCATCTGCCGGCATCCTGCCTTTCAGCTTTTTCATAGGGTTCTTCAGGCAAGAATACTGGAGTGGCTTGCCATTCCCTTCTCCAGTGGACCACATTTGTCAGAACTCTGAACTATGACCTGTCTATCTTGGGTGGCCCTGCATGGACAGCATGGCTCATCATTTCATTGAGTTATACAGCCCCTTCTCTGGGACAAGGCTGTGATCCATGAGGGGTTTCAAGTCTGTTGGACCCAGGTTTATATTTTAATAACTATTTCTTTTCTGTTTTTTTCTTAATTTTATTTTGTGTGTTTATTTTTAAAAAAATTTTTGGCTGTGCTGGCTATCATTGCTGCGTGGGCTTTTGGTGGCTTTTCTTGTTACAAAACACGGGCTCTAGAGTCCTCAGGCTTCAGGAATTGCCACACATGGGCTCAATAGTTACGGCTCCTGGGCCCCAGGGCACGGGCTCAGTAGTCACGGCTCCTGGGCCCCAGGGCACGGGCTCAGTAGTTGTGACTCCTGTGGCTCACAGATTTAGTTGCTCTGCAGGATGTGGGACCTTCCTGGACCAGAGATTGAACCCATGTTTCCTGCATTGGCCGATGCATTCTTTATCACTGGCCACCAAGAAAGTTAGAGGACTGAGTTTTAATTTTTGAGTTTCTTATTTGAGCATTTCTCTTTGGAAGGATTCATATTTTATGACTTTTATTCTTTCTTAGAGATCTTCCAATGATAAATTTACTAATTCTTAAAAATAGAATAAAATGTTTTATCTTGCAGCTACCATATGAGTCCATTGGAGATCAAATACACAGTATGGGATCTTAATGATCTTACTTTCCCATATCTGAAGACATTTTGCTGTTTCATCATCTTAGGAATTATTTCATTATTACTCATCAGTTTTTTTCTACCATGTTAAAAATGAGTAAGATAACAAGAAAACAAAAGAATGACAGCATTGCCTAGAAGAATTACGTAACAGTGAGATAAACACTGTTTTGTTTGCATTACCAAAAGGAAATCTGGAGAATAGTCTTTTATTTTTTTCACTTGAAATTTAGAAGTATTTTTAACAAAGTCAGAATTCTCAAAATAAATGATATACCTCATATATTCAGTTCTAAGCTTGATACAATCAAAGTTTTTATTCAGTCAGATATGTTCTTGATAATCAGTTAATTAATCAAACTTAGACTGGAAAGCTTTCTCTGCTGAAAATTTAGTTAGTCCTTGCTGTCCGTATGTTAAGGAGTCGTGTGTAATGTTTGCTAAGCCAAGACTCAGTTTACTCTGAGAGAATGAACTGGAACTAGTGTTGAGTGAGCCTTCCTCAGCCGTTTGTCCGGATGGACCTGAGCATGAGAGTCAGTTGGTCACTAGGTTTTCAAAGAAACGTGTATTGTTAATATTTATACTTTGGGGAGATTCAGTCAAAACACAAAAATTGTAGGCTATTTTATGTCTGAAAGTCTTAGCCAATTGTTACCTAATTTGGTTGTGAAAGTTAAAGCCTCTCTGATTAATAATCTGCTATATTTTTCTTCTTAACAGCTGTGCTTACAGTATAAGAGAAACAAAATGTGGAAATGAAAATATTCTTTCTAGTACAAAGTAGTTTAACTTTAAAATTATTTGATTTTAGCTGTACATCTAAGCTAATGACAGTTTGGTTTACTAGACTTTTTTGTAATTGTATAGCTAGTTGTGATTTAGATTCCTATTTATTTAAACATTGAAAGAAAAAACTTCTATAGCTAGATTTCTAAATCAAATATTTTCCTAATAGTGATGTGTCTGAGATTTTCTTTAGTCACATTTACTGATTTACAGCTGGATAAATTAAGGTGACTTTTTGTTTTTGTTTTAGGAAGAATTTGGCTATAATGCAGATACCCAGAAGCTGCTAGCTAAAAATGGAGAGACTCTTCTAGGAGCCATTAATTTTTTCATTGCCAGTGTAAACACTTTGGTGAATAAAACAATTGAAGATACATTAATGACCGTGAAACAGTATGAAAGTGCCAGGTAAGTATAGATTTTCATTATATCATTTGTTTTACAGGTGGTACATAATTCAGGTAAGATTTGGGGTTGCCAACAAGAGAAACCAACTCTGGTCAATATGAACTGAAAAAGAATGTGTTATTAGAATGTTGTAGGAGAGCCCACAAAGCTAATAAAAAGGCAGGAGAACAGTTCTAGAAATGAACAAGAGCCAAAGCCAAAATAATGCCTCAGAAGAATCTCATTAGAGTTCTGATGCCTGGGTACCTCTGGTACTTGATGCTGCTACAGCTCACATAAATAAAAATTCCAAAGGCTCCTGAATACTTTGCTTCATTGCCTTAAGTGTATCCAGTTGAGCCTTGGTCATGTGCCCACACCCTGCCTGTTTGGATTAGGAAGGTGGGGGAGCTCCCTGCTCCAGCTTTCTTGGCAGAGCATAGGGCCTTATTTTCCACCAGGTCGATAGCAGATGCCCTGTCTAATCTGGCCTGAGCCTGCCTTTTCAGCCATGGTGCTTCCCTGTAAGCAGTACAGTGCTTCTGCAACAGCCAGATGCAGTTTCAGTTGCTTTTGAATGTAGAAGCTCATTTCTGCCTCCATAATTTCATGTTCGTTATTCAAATTATAACCAGTCTTCAGACTCTTCCAGATTTTATTTTTTACATAAATTATTTGCCTTGTATTCCCATGGTGCTTTATAATACAGTATTTTCATACTTTTTTTACACACCTCCACACACATGATTTCTCTGTCTCATAACCGTCCTGTTGGGTATACAAAATACATATTAATAGATGCTTAGAAATGTCTAAAATGCAGCAGATCTATGATAGCATCTTTCAACTTTTGATCCCAGACCCAGTTTTTTTCCCCACTCACTTTTGTCCCCTTTCAGTTTTTTGTCTCTGAACACTTGATTTCTTTATTTTCTGTTATACTTTTTATAGCATAGCCAAAGATAGTACAAACTTTACCTTTTTAGTGTATAACTTTACTTTGTGACCTCTTGGTCTAGTTTAGTGATATGAAGTGCCTGTGGAAGTGCTAAATGTATCTAATCTTTTTGCAGTTGAGTGCTTATTCTTAAGCATATGTGTCCTTATGCTTTATATAACTAAAAGCCCAAACCACATGGAAAGTTAACTGTTTTTTTTTATTGATAGTAGTTGCTCAAAACGTTTTTGTACTTTATAAACACTTATATAGCTTCTTCAAGCTTTAAAAAGTTATTACCATGTTCTTTCAATAGCTTGCCTTTTTACACACACCCTCTTTCCTGAAATTTTGTTTATATTGACCTGTAGTTGGTTTATAGTATTGTTAGTTTCAGATGCACAGTAAAGCAGTTCAACACACACACACACACACATTCTTTTTCACACCCTTTCCCATTATAGGTTATTGTAAGATGTGGAATAGAGTTCCCTGGGCTATGCAGTGAGTCCTTGTTGTTTATGTACTTCATACACAAACACACACACACACACAGTGATGTGTATCTGTTAATTCCATACTCCCAATTTTTCTTTCTCCCCAGCTTTTCCCTTTGGTAACCATAAACTTGCTTTCAAAATTTGTGAATCTCTTTTTGTTTTGTAAATATGTTCAATTGTATCATTTTTTAGATTTCACAAATAAGTGATATATTTGTCAAGTAGGTGATGTGTAATATTTGTCTTTCTCTGTTTGACTTCACCTAGGATGGTAATGTCTAGATCCATCTATGTTGCTGCAAATGGCAGTACTTCATTATTGTTTATGGTTGAATAATAATTTTAATTTTTTAAGGGACATCCGTAGTTCTGCATAGTGGCTGTACCAGTTTCCATTCCCACTAACAGTGTAGGAGGGGTCCCTTTTCTCCACACTCCTCCTAGCATTTATTATTTGTAGAATCTTTTTGTTTGGTAGACTTTTTGATAATGGCCATTCTCACTGGTATGAAGTGATACCTCGTTGTAGGTTTGATTTACATTTCTCTAATAATTAGAGATGTTGAGCATCTTTTCCTGACCCTGTTGACTATCTGGATGTTTTTGGAGAAATGTCTATGTAGATCTTCTCCCATTTTTTGATTGGGTTGTTTGTTTTTTTGTTATTAAGTTGTATGAGCTGTTTGTATATTTTGGAAGTTAAGCCATTGTCAGTCATGGTGGTCACCAGTATTTTCTTCCAGTCTGTAGGTTGTCTTTTCATTTTGTTTATGGTTTCCTTTGCTGTGCAAAAGCTTATAACTTTGATTAGGTCTCGTTTGTTTATTTTTGCTTGTATTTCTTTTGCCTTTGGACGCTGACCTAGAAGACATTGCTACAATTTATGTCAGAATGTTTTACCCATGTTCTCTTCTGGAAGTTTCATTGTGTCAGGTCTTTTATTTAAACCGTTTTGGGTTTATTTTGTGTGTGGTGTGGGGGTGTGTTCTAACCTCATTGGTTTACATGATGCCTTCTAGTTTTCTCAACATCAGTTTGCTGAAGAGACTCAGTTCTCCATTGTATGTTCTTGCCTCCCTTGCCAAAGATTAATTGACCATAGGGGTGTGTTTTTATTTCTGGGTTCTCTATTCTGTTCCATTGATCCATGTGTCTATTTTTATGCTAATACCATGCTGTTTTGATTACTGTAGCTTTGTAGTATTATCTGAAGCCTGGGAAAGTTATGCTTCCTGCTTTGTTCTTTTTCCTCTGGATTGCTTTGGCAATTCTGAGTCTTCTGGAGTTCCATACAAGTTTTAGGATTGTTTGTTCTGGTTCTGTGAAAAAGGTCATGGATAATTTTAATAGCAGTCACATTAAATCTGTAGATTGCTTTGGGTAGTATGGCCATGTTAACAATTCTAATTCTTACAAACCAAGTGTATGGAATAGCTTTCCATTTCTTTGGATCATCTTTAGTGGCTTTATCAGTATTTTATAGTTCTCAACATATAGGTCTTTCGCCTCCTTGGTTAGGGTTACTTCATGTTTTTATTTGTTGTTTTTGACCATTTTAAATGGGATTTTTTTTCTTTTTAAAACATTTGCTCACTTACTTTTGGCTGTGCTGGGTCTCTGTTGCTGTGTGTGGGTCTCCTCTGGCTGTGGCGAGCAGGCGGCGCGCTCGCTGTGGGCAGGCTTACTGTGGTGGCCTCTTGTGTTGCAGAGCACAGGCTCCGGGGAGTGCAGGCTGCAGCCGCTGCTCCTCATGGGCTCTGGAGTGCGCGCTCAGTGGTTGTGTGTGGGCTGAGTTTCCCCACGGCATGTGGGATCTTTCTGGACCAGGGATCAAACCCATTGCCTGTGTTGGCAGGTTGGCAGGTGGATTCCCAACCACTGGACCACCCAGGAAGACAAGAATTTTTTTTTTTGGAAAGTTTACTTTTGATCTTTGCATAAGAAGAGATACTTCTATCCTATGCTGTGTTTGTAGCTCTCATTTTAGTATTAACTTATCAGATTCTCAATGACTTGGAAAGGAAGGTCAAGACAAGTACTTGTGGTTGTCGGTAGGAGAAGGGCACAAATGGATCTATGTGCCTTATTTAAGTTTTGGACTTGGTTTTTTTACTTTCCTTTATTGTTTGAAGAATTTAGTACTATAGTATTAAAATCAGAATATGGGAAAATATGAAGAAATCTATCAGTATGATTTCACTCAGTAACATTGAAGGGATGTCTCAATAAAATATCCTTCAGTAGGGCTTCCTTCAGTAACATTTCCAGTAGTTGGTTTTCCAATCTCTGTTTAAATCCTTTAATGGATGCTGCCTGTATTTTTCAAAGGATATATGTTTATGATGTTTATTTTTATTTCTATAAGCTGTTTCTTCTCCAAATCTGTCTATTCATTTTCATAGTATCCTAATTTGTTCATAATGAATACTCTTCCTTTTATCTTGTAATCATTTTAAACATTCTTATTTTCTAATCTAAAAGATTGTTCTAATATCTGTAGCTTTAAAGTTGAAATTTCTTTTGTTCTGAAAGTATCCCAGTTAAGGACTATGTGAATCTAGTTTCTGTCTACTTTGTAATGGTCCGCCTATCCTGATTTTTAAATATAAAGTATATTTTATTTGAACCATGTAATACCTTTCTCTTCAGCATTTATTTCTAACATGTTTTTAAAAATGTTAACCCATATTAAAGAAAAATACATTAGATGTCACTTATCATACACAAAACATTTTATATTTAATTTGCAAAGGAGGAAAATAAGCCTCTAGAGGTTAAGTGATTTATTTACTTGGAACCGATTTCAAAGTCAAATGAAAATCCATGGGCTCCTTCCTTCTATTTTTGATTATCAGGCCTCAAACTTGAATTGAACTAATCTCAAATTTTCACATCTAATTTTAAAAAGTAGCTTTCACATCTTATGATGAAGAATCTGACATAATGTATAATGTGATATAAAAAAATCTCAATTTATCCAATAATATAGGTTAGTTTGAAATTTTTGAACTAAATTATCAATCAAGTTGTATTACTGGGTAGCTGGTTATCAGGAAACCTTTACACAACCTCGGTATATACTTTAAAAATCAACAATAATGACCTCACCCCATAATTTATTCTTGTATTGAAATTTCAGTATATGATTTCATTCATTAAGCTTAGCTTGGTGGTTACCTTTTCTGTGCCATTTTTAGAGAAGCTGAGGCATTGTCTAGTTGTAACACTAAAACAATGCCTACTGAGGGATAACATTGAAAAAGAATCCCAGAGTGAAAGTTTCTCAGTAGCTGAATTTTCTTCTCTGTCAAAACCAGAATTTATTGACTTTTAGGGGCAAGGGTCAGCTATTTGATCAGCACAGAAAGTGGCAGTTTAGGCAGATGTCTGGGTGGCCTTTTAATACTCCCTATTATGCATTGTACAAGTATTTCCTAGCTGTCTAGGGCTTCATGCATAGAAAATCTTGTAACAGCCTATTCAAGACTTCTCCAGAGTAGCACCAACAAGGGAGCCAATTGTGGTCAGAACTTTTCAGATGTTGACACCTGTTTCCTGTAAGTTTTACATAAGGCATAAAGTAA